CATAAAATGTGATGGTGATAAAGGGTTTCAATGATTGTTGGGAATGTTTAGCTCTGTATTTAATTTCCTTTAATGTGAATGAGAAAGCATATAAGCTTTGAAAATATAATACAACATACTGGGTGCAAAAAAATGAGGATGCATCTTGAGTAGAATTTTCAGAATGTGTGGATGCATGCCATTGTTGCAGACAGATGTGCACACATGTGTGCTCATGTGCATGCTCTAGGTCATGCATACTGTTGCATATGAACAGCTGCGTATGCAACTGTATGCTCCCTGAGTACCTATTTAAATGTCCTAACATTTGACTAGAAATATATATCACCTTCGTAATAATAATTGTATCTATATAATCTTTAAAAAGCAATGAGTTAAATTCATTGGTGGAACTTAATACCCCCTCCCAACCACACTAAAAGACAATTTCTTTTATATTATAAATGAACTGCAGAGATGATACCTTCTGTTCTCTCCAGTGTATGCATAGTTGCTTCATTAGGGAACTGTAGCTGACATATTTTCAGGCATAGTAAATAGCTTCTAGGCTTTTCAAATTAAGTTACACATTGCCTGCTATGCAGGCCAGGGCCTATACATTGAATAAATCATCAAAAGTGTATTCTTCCAGCTCTTTTTAAGGTCACAGTAGTGCAATGTTTTATTGATTGCATTTGCAGAGGCAAATTGAATCCATGACTTGTCAAGGCCCCTGAATCCCATGCCATAAACAAGAGAGAAAAAAGGAAAAGATGGATGTAGTTCAGTGGAATTAGCAGGCAAGAATGAAGTTGCCTATTGTGTGTTAATTAATTAAGTTTTTTTTCTTCCTGCCCATGCCAAGTGAGAAGTAGCAATAAAAGGAGAAGCAAGCTTCAAAGACCAGAACCTGATTTAGAGTTCTTGGAAGTAAGGTTAATAATCAGTGGTCTAACACTTGATCTTCTGCCAACTGTCAGTCAAAATCCTTTTCCCCAAAACTGTAAATCAAAAAGCAAAATAGATCATTCTTAGATGTAATTTCTTCATAGGCCTCTCCATGACAACTAATAACATATCTGGTTTAGAAAGCTCCATCTTTTTAAAATTTAAAAATAAGAAAATAAATGAAAGCCTTACTTGCTGTGGGATGCACTTTGTATACAAGAAACCCACAGTAATGCACATTTTACAAATAGATCTTACTAAGTGGCCACATACTTTTTTTTTTTCCCCTTAGATCATTTTTCTTATCCTGGAAAAATTTCAAATGTGTCGCTGCTAGCATTTAACCAGAATCCGGTACTCATCAGAGGCAGTGGTTTGAAATTGCTAATTAACAGTAGAACCAAAAAAGTGGTAAATCTCATCAGCAGCAATTTTAGCACTCTTGCCTGTTGAAAGTGAGGGTACATTCATCTATAAGTGCAAAGCAGCATCAAGCTTCATGGATGAACACAAGTTTGGAAACCACAAAGGTTAAAGCTAGTCTTCCTTCCCAGTAATTTTTCTATCGCTGGTCTTTTGATTTGGTTAGATTGGATATGTGTGCTTGTGTGTGTGTTTTGTTTTTTGTTGTTGTTGTTGTTTTTTATAACAGGTTTCTATTGCAAACACCAAACCTCCACCAGGAATGATTGTTTTAATGACTTTATGCTTTTGAATCTGAATACGTTTTCCCTTATCACACACAGCGCATTTGCTTGCAAGCACATGACAAGTTGTCGTGGTCACAGTGAGAGAGTGAATTAAGAGCAGGCTAATGAAAGTTGAAACTTTCAAGTGCGTGAGCTATTTTGGCAATTTAAAGCTCCGGCATTCACTATATTAATTTCTGGAGTGCTGCAAGGTGTGCTATTTTAAATGTGACAGCAGAGATGGTGCACAGCACAGCTTTTTTTTTTTTATAATATTGTTGACATCTTAGTGGCCTGCATTTTCTGCTTCTGTTGAACTCCACTTGTTATTGTTTGTTTCCTGCATCTGGATTTGACAGAAACATTTTTTTCCTGAGCTGTAGCACTTTTTTATTTTTTTCTAAAATATAGTTTTAAAATGTGTAAACAAGGGAGAAGTACTTTTTCTTAGCAAACTGCAGCATATGTCCTAAAATCCTCTTGGGCAGAAAAAGATTGATTTAAAAATAAAGGAAGGGCTTAAAGAGAACCGCATACCACTTTTCTTCGCTTATAGCAGAAAAAACATGGCATCTAATATGACTGTGGAAAAACCAAAAGGGAAAAACCAAGAGCTTCAGGAAAAACCAAGAGAGAATCATAATTCATTTTTTTCTGATCTATTAATTTATCTAATTATATCAAAGCCCTTATCACTTTAATATCTAGGTATTTGTGTTTATTATTATTATTATTATTTTGCCTTTTCTATGCAATACCTCACTATGCCATTTGAATATTTTTCTACATATTTGTATTGCTATGCCCATTTTATGCGTTGGAAAACTGAGTCAAATGGATTAGCAAATTGGTAAAGTACTTTAGGAAAGTACTATAAGTGCAGGTTTTAAGATGAACATATTCTGAAGGCAGTCCTTATTTTGTGAAGTGCTGAAGCATGTGCTTCAGTGTTGTTGACTGCATTGGTGCTGAAATGTTTCTCTGAATTGTAGTACATGTGACTTTTCTACGGTTATTTGAAAGTTGTTGGTAGAGTTCTGAGTCCCTGTTCAGGTTCCTAATCGAGAGGCCCTCCTCTCTTCCATGTTGTTTAAAAATCCTGTTTGTCCTAGTCTCTCTGCTTTATAGCAGTGTATGGGTGAGGACTTCTGTGCAAAGAATTATATTACACTGACTTTTCTGTAAATCATGAAGGAGAACAGTGACATTAGTTTGAGGTTTTGTTTTTATTTTTATTTTTTTTTAAGCAGGATTTAATTGAATTCTGACACTGGTAAAATCGATGGCAAAATGCCTGCTGACTGTATTGGTTTCAGGATGAACCTGTCATGGAAGTAAAGTAACATCTACCCAAATTAGAAACAATTTACAAAGAGTCTGCAAAGAATGCATGCTGCCTAATTGCACGAAAGATCTAACTGGTGCTAAAGGATGCAGTCAACAGTAAATATTTTAAATTACAGTTTTTAAGAACTTAGTATGTCTAAGGGAATTGTTCTTCCTTGTCACATAAACATACTGGTATATATTTTTAATTAAATATTTGACAAAATGTCTGTATATCTTACAAGTTATTGCTTACTAGGAATCTGAAGAATTGGAGATTTAATTTTATATTTTTTCCAGAAGACTAGGTTTTGAAACAATATCACAAAGCTTTGAATAGTCAGATAAATCATTCCCCAGAATATGTTTTGCACCAAATGTCTCCTGAACCCTTAAAAACAAGCTTTTACAATTTAATGTTGGTCTCTTGTCTAATTAAGTAAAACAACTTGATTTTAGAAGCAGACTGTCAGATATTTATTTTGTAGTTATGCACCGGACTTTTATTGTTTTATTCCCCACCGCAATAATGCATTAGAAATGAGATTTACCTACAAAGTTTCTTTAGCATAATGCCACTGCTTTGTTGGAGCATGGAGCTGACTTGTTCATCTCAGCTTGCGTTTTCTGTGAGCTGCTGCGGAGAACCAGAAAATAGTTCATTCTTATTTAGATGCCATACTTTCAATTAGAGGGGAATTTCAATTAAAGTATCATTTACTATGGAAACTTTATATAAAGGTATTTAGGTGTTTCTGATATCTTCACCTTTGCTTTTCATTTTGCTCTTCACAATTGTGAGTATGTGACCATCAGTACATGTATGTCCGCCTTGGAAACGCTCCTTATAATGCCATCAGGCAAGAGAATGGAAAGAATTAGTGACTGAACCAACAAATAAAACTTTGTTCTATTCTAATTAATTGAATGCCAGCTGTTGGCTAACATAAATGAGATATTTTTTGGAAGTTAATGAGATATTTACAACTGATTAAGTCGTGGCAAAAGGCATAGATATTTATCTGTCTCATAATTAAACTTCATTATTTGTTCTGTTGATTAGTACTGTAGCATTGTTTAGAAGTTGTTGAGTAAATTCCCTACCATCTCTTTCCCACTATGGCACTGAGCATGCTAATATAAATATTTGCATGAGTAACACAAGCATCAGTCCAGGACAACTTTGTGAATATGAATTTCCATGTAACTGGCCACTTAGTGTCTAGCTGATCATGCTCAAGAATATGAATTTCCTTGTATCTCAAGTTCACTGTGGAACTGACCCAGCTTATGAATATTAATGTCCACACAACTGATCTTTCTGCAAGCGATCACATCCATAAACATGAAAATCTTGTTAACTTGCAGTAACGAGCACCATCTTGCATGCTGCTCCCAGCTCAGTTTTACAAGTCTAATTTTTTTAATTCCTTGTTTTTTCCCTTTCCCATGGAATCCCTCTTAAAGCATGTAGCTTTCAAGGGAGATCTCAGTTAGCTTTTTCCAGCGACTCGCATATCTTTTGTTGGTATCGCTGTATTCTTTATCACTGTGCACTATGATCAGAAAGTCATGTGGTTACATGCTGATTTCCTGTCTATAACATGGAATTGGGAATAAAATACCCATCAGAAATGGCATATTTTATAGATATAAAGGAAGAAGAATACTAGCAAGCAGTGGATGATGGTATAATAATCATACAAAGCATAGAGACAAATTTTCAAAAATTTCCATTTGTGGTCTTTAAAATGAAGTACTCTAACTTGCTATAAAAGCTTATTCTGTCACTCACAATAGTTATTAATTATGGAAAACTATAGCATTGTAATACCAAATCTTTTTTCATGTTTTGCAGCTACAATAGTGTTAAATGAACTCAATTGGACTGCTGCATTGGATGATACCTTCAAAGAGAATAGAGAAGAAGACCCAACTTTATTATGGCAAGTTTTTGGCAGTGCAACTGGCCTCGCCAGGTATTATCCAGGTAATTGCAACCTATAAATGAGTGTTACAGCTGTATAGTCATCACAGTTTGTTTTTAATTTTTTCAGTCCTGCACCAGTTAAAAGTAACTTTCTCAAAAGAAAAACCCAGAGCGTCTACTTCTTTTACTCATTTGTCCCATTAAAAATTAAGGTAACTCCACTCATGTCAATAAAATTATTCTGATGTAAAAAGGATGAAAGGGGAAAAAACTGGTGTATTTGAAACCTCTGTACTGAAACTTCAGGATGACAATGTTACTTGGAAATGTTGCATAGTAGGGGTGTGTGAAACGGGCTGTATTCAATTGGGATACAGCCTGAATTGGGGGTAGTGATTGGATTCATTGATTCAGATCACTGTCCGCAATTCGATTCGGCCGAACCCAAATCTGACGATTCGATGCTGATTCAGAGAATCAGTGATCTGGCCATAGACACAGCTTTACATTTTTTTCCCCACATATCTCAAAGTAGCAGGTACGGCTTGTGAAGGCTGTGATGCTGGGGCAGATGGAGCATCCCACA